TTCAGGATTTTGGTCAAACTGATCAAATACCCTTAATAGACTAATGTTGACCAATTAGAGATGTTCTATGATTCCAGAAAAATAGAAAGACATTTTATCTGATATTTTAGCTGCCTTAATAAAGGAAAGGACATTTTCAAGCAATATATTACTGGCACCACAACTAAAATAAATGTTTTTAAGTCATGGCATCAGTCAGAACTGCCAAAATTCTCTCAATAGCATAAAATAAATTCAGTCCTCAATGTCAAATCAATTATACTCCAAAATAATGTTTCTTAAGTCAACATTTTAGAACTTGAAAGTTTTTCCTCAGAAATAATACTACAAGTGGAGGTTCATTTGTTGGTTTACTCACATTTCAACAAACATTTAGTGAGCACAAATTAAATACAGATATATAAAGGCATAGTCCCTTGGCACAAGAAAAAGCAAATAAGCCAAAGGAATAGAATGGAAACAGACATGTACTACCACCTGATTTATGAGACAAATAACACTATAGTACAACAGGAATAGTCTTCTCAATAAATGGGAGTGTCACCCACATATATGTATAAGGGACAAAAATAAATCTTAACACCCTACCTTATAACTAATATACCCAAATCACCTCCAGATGGTATGTAATCTAAATAGAAAAAGTGGGGCGCCTGGGTGGCTCAGTCGGTTAAGCATCTGCCTTTGGTTCAGGTCATGATCTCAGAGTCCTGGGATGGAGCCTCGTGTTGGGCTCCCTGAGGACAGGGAGCCTGCTTTTCCCTCTCCTCCCTGCTCATGCTCTCTCTCACGATCTCTCTCTCTCTCTCAAATAAATAAAATCTTTAAAAAATAAACAAATAAAATAAATAAATGAAATAAAACAACAGGGCTGCTAGGAGACAACACAGAAGAACATCTTCAGGACCTTTAAGATAGTCAAAGATCTTAAACAGGACATATAACAACACTAATCACATAGTGAAAAAACGAGAAAATGAACTGCATTAAAATGTACATTTTCTGTTCATTCTTCTCAAAGACCCCAGTAAGAGATTGAAGGAAAGCAATAAAATAGGAGAAAATATTTATAATACTCCAAAAGGACTCTTACCCAGAATAGATACAAAACTCTTACACATCAATATGAAAAAGGCAAACAACCCAACAGAAAAACTGACCAAGGCACAAGTAGGCACTTCACTCTGAGAGAGGCCATCTAAACTGTCAATAACATCTGAAAGGTCACCTAACTGTATTAGTCACCAGGAAAAAACATATGAAAACCACATAATGCAATGTCACTAACCACTCTTAAGAATGACTAAATTTTTTTAAGTAAAAAAACATTAACTGACAATACCAAGGCCTGAAGAGAAAGTAGAGAAATGGGAGCTAGCCCTTGGCTGATGAGGATGAAAACTAGCATAGTCACCTCAGAAAACCATCAGGTAGTATCTGTATCAATCAGCTTTCTGCTACACAACAAATTACCCCAAATCTTCACAGCTTCAAACTACAACCATTTTATTTAGCTTGCAATTCTGTGGTGCAGCAAGTTGGGCAGCTCTTCTCCTGGAACCGCTCATCTCAAATTACTCTTTTGTCCTCCTCTTCCTCTTTTGTTTACTAGACCAGCGTCACAGCTGCCCCAGTGCCTGATTAGGACAGTTCCCAACAGGTCCCAGTGGGGAAGGCCCCAGTGAGTAGACCAGCCAGGCTTCCTACGGGGAGAGTAAAGGCACATTCCTACCTGCTAACACCTCACAGGCGTCCCCTAGCCCTTGACAGGAAGGTTCACCCCTCCCAGATGGCCCCTGGCCTCCAGGTGGGTCTGCCTGACTCTGTGGTGCTGTCCACCCTCTGGAGCTACCTGCAGGATCTGGGGGACACTCACTCCTGCTGACCTTGCCCAGCTCCCACTGCCTGTCTTGAGAACTATTCCTGCACAAATCCCACACTACTCCCAGATCCTGCTCTGGGGCTAAGGGTCAAAGAGTTCTCACTGTTCCATTGCTCCTGGTAGGGGTGAGACTGCAGTCAGCATGTGGACCCACGGTGGGAGTGGGCAGGTGACTAGGATGGAAGTCCCAGGAAAGTCCTCCTCCCAGCCCCCCACCAGGGCCTCAGAAAAAGAAAAAAGAAAAAAGAGAAAACTGTACATAAAGATAGTTAAGCATGAAATATATATCAATTATATTGGCAGAGTAAGAAAGCTTCCCCAAAACTAAAGGTTAAAAAGCTTAAAGAGTAAGAAAAAAATATAGGAGGAAAATTTAATTGCTAGGTTTAATAAGTAAATCTCTACTTGAATTATGTATTCCTAAAAAAAAAAAACTAACACACTCCTGAAGAAAGAAAGAATATATTTGAGGGAAAAATGTATTTTTAACAAAAACTAGAAAATTCACATTCTAGAACATCTAATGCATCTGAATGAAGGTGTATGAAAGTCATGCCAGCAATATAAAAAATGTACCCTTGGTGTAGAACACTAAAATTAACTACTATTAACTGATCATTCACAGGAAGAAAGAAAAAAAAAATCCATCACACAAAACTAAAATCAAAGCAAACTAAAATCTAAGCTTTTTAATACACTGGATTCTTAAAGTATTCTACTGTGATCAAAAGATATAGTTCAGCCTGATTAATGTATAGATGTTATAAATATATACAAATGCAAGACTTTCATACTTTACACTGTTAGTGCACTCTTTGAACAACAGAACTGTGAAACAAAACCCAGGCACACCTAGTTTTAAGGCATTACCTCAAAATATTTTAGATGTTTTATTTTAATTTTATTATACAAATGAAAATTTTAATCCTCTAAACAGTTAAATAATCAGGCAAAGTACTGTGTGTGCTAAGAAATGTACATCAGAAGTTTCAAATGGCTAAGGCCAAAGGCAAGTTTAAAAGGATAGCCCAGAATTTCACTTTTCACTTTGATATTGCTTTCTGGCAAATATCAAAAACATTGTCTTTCTGGGGGATTTCCTATGCTCTTCTCCCACCCTGGTAACTTAGGCCTTCCCTCCAGGGGCAGCTTCCCCTCCGCCTTCAAACATAACAATGTGCTTCTTTTGACTTACTATTCCCCTCTTGTTACTAATTCTCTCTCTTCTCTTTCACTAACATGCTCCCAAAATGGCTAGGAGATTCATATTGCTTTAAATTCTTATCCATTCCCTACCTTCTAATCATGTCCCTTGCAGGAGTCAGCTGTCCTTACTCTGTCCCCTGAAGACTGGCCGTCCAGCCTCTGGGTGCAGCCACCACCTCGAACAGTGTGACTACGAAATAGGATTCCAGCCCTCGAGTCTCATGAAGCTCCAAACCTTGACCTCCCCAGTTCGTCAGACCACCTCTTCAGTCTAAAAGGAAACCTGTAACCCTTCAAATGGATTCCAGTCTAAAAGGAAACTTGTAACCCTTCAGATGGATTCCCCCATCTGACAGTTAACTGACAGAGAGCCAATGTTCCCATTTCCTAGAAGCAAGCCTTTAGGTGCCCTTCTGGTCAGCTCACCTATCAGTCACTAGCATCCTTGACCCTCTTTGAAATGTCTTTTCTTTCAACACTTTCCATCTTCACAGAAATCACACCATTGTGGAGTTCACCACAAATACCAAAAAGATGATTGGCTCCCTTTCTCCAATTTCTATTCACATCTAGTATAACCTTCAAAATGCCACCAAGTCAATTTTCCTAAAGCACCGCTTTCATTAAAGACCATTATTAGTAGGAAGGGTCTTAGGTTTTTTAAAATAACAATCCCTAATGTCAGTGAAGAAGTAAGAAATAGATAATCCTCTACAGTGGTGGTTGGAGAATAAACCGGTATATACCTTCTGGGGGCAATGTACCAGGAAGGGATATAACCTGAGAAATCAACCAAATATGTATACAAAGATTCTGTAGGGAATTTTAGTGCAGTATTACTTATATTAGCCACACACTGGGAGCAACCGAAATGTCCAAAAATAGCAGAATGCTTAAATAAGTTATGGAATACCCATCCAAAAGAAAAATTAGTGCTATTGTTAATATTCATATTTATAGAACTATTATAAAATTATAGCAAATTTAAAACAGCACATAATAGTATTTATGTTTTGTTTAAATTTTAGTTTTATAAATACACACAGGAAAAAAAAGGAGGGGAGAATATATATAGCAAAAGGTTAAACCATCTCTCAGTGTTAAGATTTTCAAACATACTTTATTCCTGATTTTCTATGTTTTTCAAATTTTCAAATTACAAATTATTTTATTAATAACAAAATGCAATAAAAATTGTTCTAACCCCCTTTTCATTTCCTCAAAGCATTTAAACGGCATCATGTAAAGTGGACCGTGGAAGGAAAAAATAAACGTCCAGGGCTCACTATTGCCTAAAATGTAAACACTCAACCACTCAATTTAGCATTCAAAGCTCCAATACAATCCAGCCTGATTAATGTTGCCCCCTAATCCACTATTTAAGTCCCAAAGATCCAACTGTGACAGCTGACTTACACCACCCACATTTTTTCATGCCTCTCTCTTCCTAGTTCTCCACCTCCACGCCTATCTGGATACGTCCAGGCCCCTCTCGGTCTTTACCTGAAAACTGCTGCCCATGATGGCAGCTCATCCAGGAAATCTCCCAATTTTTTTAACCGAAATGACCTTGCTTCTCCAAGTCCTTCCCTCCCTGCCCTCCACTTTAGTATTCTACTTTCTAACTCATTTTAATATTTTACCATGTACTATCTTCAATTATTATTTAACTATGTATGTGTGTATCTCCTACTTCACCAATAAGAAAGTCAGCTTGTTGAGGGCAGGGACTGTTTTTGCTTCTTTGGAATGTTCTTTCTCTTTCCTGTACTCAAAGTCCGTCTCCCACAGTACTACCACAGTACTAAATGGCTGACATCTGATAATATTCACTAAGTAGAATTAGTTCAGATGTTTTCCAAATACAATTCTCCTATGGTGACATACATACATAAAGTACTTTTGTTTTTACCCCAAGATTCCAACTATTAAGGCGAGCTTCGATGTCGCTGTCATCCAAAGAAACAGCAGATTTTTTGGAATGAGCTTCCTGAAAGACAAAAGACAAAAGAGAAGAAGGAAGGAAGAAATAAAGAAAAGGAAGAAGGGAGAGAGGGAGAGTGAGAGGGAAAAATAAAGAAAACAGAAAAGACAGAAAAGAGGACAAAATATATGTCATTCAGAGTAATGAGAATTTTGTGTGCTTTTCTGATAGTGCTTTATTGCTCTCAAAGGAAAGGTTTATGTTACAGCTGAGCTAGAGTTCTCAATTCTAAGTAATGACTGTTTATTATAGCTGCTTAGGGCTATGAGGTGCCTTCACAATATATTCACACAGTAACTAGATTTCAAAAAAAAAAAAACCACACATCAAAAGAATATCTTAAAAATTAATCCAGATTCTTCTAAGTTCTTTTACAAAAAGTTTTAATTGTGGTATACCACAGTAGCTTTAAAGGGGGGTGGGGAAACACTTGAAAAGATGAATTATTTATAATCCTTAAAATTAGTTAACAGGGAAGTTTGTGTTGATGTCCAAGAAGCTCTTTGTTCTTAAATTAATTCTCGTTCATACACTGAATATAAAGAGAAATAAGCTTTGGATTCACATCATGAGAATACAATTATGGTGAAATTTTACTTTTTTAAAAAATTAAAATTGCATGCTTTTTTCCCCTCCCATATAACTTATTATATTACACATTTATCAAAGCAGATTAAAACTTTAACTGAGCACAGACTAAAATCTGTGCCCAGAAATGGACAATGATCTAAAAGCTCTAAAAACTTAGAAAGGTAAATCTGTGTAAAATAATAATGCATATATTACAGCACAGCCAAAAAAATGTATTTTGAAATTAAATTTGTTGGCACACCATTTGCACACTTTTAGAAAACCTCACTAATAAATAAATCTACTTACCTATGATCATCTAAATTATCTGCAGTGATGAAAAATATACTAAAATGTTCTCCATATCTTATCTCCAAATTTCTTTTGAACAAAATGTTGCAGTTATTATATATACTATATTTAAATTCATTATTGTTTCTATTGTTGGTCCCCTGTTTCTCGTACGTCTTAAGAAAATGCACCTGCCTTGTTTATTTTGAGTAAATGAAATGGTTGATAATAACCCCACAAATATTTGAAATATGCTGCCCTTAAAATATTTTCCAAAGTTCCAAACTATCACTGGAGAAAATGCAGTGAGTTATGTTTAGAGCAATATGTGCTGAACAGTCACGCATCACACATGATCTCCTTGTAACTAAAAGTCATGTAACCCAAGACGAGCCAGAGTTACGCAAGAAAGGCCATAGTAAGCAGGCAAAATTCTTCTCTTTAGAAAGCTAACTGGAATGCTCACTAGCACCTTGGTCAAACCAAAACTATGTTAAGCATTAGATGCAAGAGAGGCATTCACATTTCAGGACATAAACAGCTCACCTTCAGCAAAAATGCAGTATCCCCTACTTCACTACAAGTTAATCCAAGTTTCTTAAATTTATGACCACTGGGTGTCTAATTATATATATATA